GTTAATTAGTTAAGATGCATAAGTGCAAAGTCTTGCTAGTATTAAGCAGCTGTAGGGAGGCAGCAGTTGAAAGCTGATATGCCGGCCCTGAGCTTGAGAGAGAAACCCCTCTCTCTAGGGGCCTTTCATTTGCAGCCGGTGTCCGTCCTGCACCTCTCTCTAAAGGCCTTTCATTTGCAGCCGGTGTCCGTCCTGCAGTGCGTGGAGTTCAGTGTCTCAGCCATTCAGTTCCCAAGCCGATTATTTTCCTGAGGGCCACCTCAACTTGAACTTTGATCTGCCGGGTCTTAGGTGAAAATAAGTGCTTTGAGGCATTGTCCAATTTTCTCCTCGCCGGCATCCCAGGGTTAAAAAAAAAAAAGAGAAAGCCAGAGCACAGCACATGAAGCTTATTAGCACACGAGAGATTTTTCTACTTCCAGAGTATCACTTAAAACACAAAGGAGCACTGGGAGGAAAGTGCAACACTACCAAGGAGTAGAAGATCCTCTCCTGCGGAGGCAAAGGAACAAGACGTGACAGCGTAAGAGCAGTCTTGCCGGTTGGTGCCTGAGGTCAGAGTCATAGAGAAGTAGGGCTGGAAAGAGGTCATCCAGTCCCCCCCTACACCCCTCTCCAAACCATCCTATACAACCCATAATCTAAAGTCTACATAAAAGGACCATCAACCCATCTACGGCACAGACTTAACACCCTAACCTGCCACACGGAAAGCAGGTCAACCACAGCAGCCAACGTCCTGCTTCTATGAAACGTTGTCAATATATGCTCAAGAGATCCCGGGTAAAAGGCCATGCCCCTTGCTACCTCCCGCACCGGTCCATAGCAGTCTGACCATTAGGGAAAATGTCTTCCTGACCCCAGATCTGGCAATCGGTCCTATCCTGAGTGGAGGGGCAAGACTCTCTAACCTTCAGCCTCCGCAAGAGAAGGTGGGATATGCATCTAGCTGGGGTCATCTAGACCCAGCCCTCTTTCCTGCCTATGCAGGGGGTCGGACTCGATGATCTATTGAGGTCCCTTCTGACCCTAACATCTATGAATCAGGAACTTCCAGCAAGAGCATTGGCACACCACAGTCAAAATCCCCAGACTTGGCTGTAGCCAACACGCAATGCCTCTGAGGAAGGCTTAAAAACACCCTAATATGTGTAGCAGACAATGTGGGGACTGGGGCAACCAGCAATGCCCAGAAGCATGGGAAATACCCAAAGCAGAAATAGGCATAGGAGGTCCTGGGCTCTCCTCCCTGGCAGACAGGATACTGTGAAACAGAGGTAGGAAGAACAATGCAATTCATGTGAGCGTAGTACTTCTAAGGCAGCACCCTTTTTCTGCACAGCAAGCAAAGGGGCACTGCAGAGGACATACCCCTCCAACCTTCCCCATAGATGTTTTCACATCCTGAGACATGGGCTGTCGCAAAGCTGTGGCATCTCATCACCGCCAGCAAAAGCAGGTTGACAAATTTCACTCTTCACCTATACTTGTCCCTCTACCACCCAGCTTCCTGGGAGAGATGCAGGTGTGAATGCAGGTCAAACTTAGACCCAGGCCTCAGTGAAGTTTGATTGTTATCATCTGCCTCAGTTTTCCACAACTAAAGCAGACACCAGCACTATGCTCTGATGGACTTGGGTCTTCCCATCGAGCCAGTCTCCTGTTGTGATGTGCCCGTCATGAGATCTCGGCACACCATGAATAATTGGTGTTGTGCCCATTTAAGTGCCCAGGATTATTAGTGTTAAAATAGATATGGAGTTAGTATCCAAGACCCTAACAGAATGAGAGCTCCTCATGTTTTCAGTCATGAGCCTCTTCCAAAGTCCTACATGTAACCCGTGCTGACACGCTAGGCCAGATGATGTGCCGGATTTTGGATCCTAAGGGTGCCAGTAGCTCTGGGAACCCCCCATCAAGCAGATCTGCTAACTGAGGTACCATGTGCCACCAGGTCCGCGCTCTGGCCGCTTGCGCTGCCCCCCTTGCTCGCCACCCCCCTGATCCCCACATGGGCTGATATGCCCTGGGCCCTGAGCAGGCTTCAGCTCCCTTTTCTCTGGAGGGGAATGAGTCTCTGTCCCCTCTCTCCAGGCTGGAGTTGGCTCCTCCTCTCCTCTTTTCCCCCTCTCCGCTTTTTTTTCTGCCATATTAACAGCCAATTGGAGCCCTTGGTTTGCAGTGTCGGTGCACTAGTCACAGTTCAAACGGTCCGATAAAAAGCATGCACTGTGCACAGCATACTGTCCTGCCTGGAAAAGCTATTGCACCCTCTATTTGCCCCCTTTTTGCAAAGTTCTCAGGCACAGCTCACCCACTCCGCTTACAGCCGAGCAAGCCTTGCAGCTGTTACTTATAATATAACATAAGTGCTCTATGATCCTAGACTGTGAGCTTTCTGTGGTAGTGACATGTCTGTTCAATAGTATAATGGGGTGTGATCTGTGATAGGGGTTTTTAAGTGAAGCAGTGATACCTCAAAACGATCATATAGATGCTGCTTACTCTTACTGTCCCATTTTAGTCAATAGGAGCTGCTAGCAAGGGCAGAATGTAGCCTAACAACAAAGCCTGACCTCAGACTTGGCCTGAAAATTTAATATCCCAGAACAAGTAGAGAACTACTCTATTTAATATCCCAGAACTCACGAAGTTTTGGGTTTCTTGTTGTTTTATGTAGGAGCAACAAAAAACATGGGAAAAGCGTGGCTATTAAACCCATCTTTTATTTTAAATAATAAATATTAGGAATGCAAATTATGGCACAAAAGCTGGCGATCTTTAAATAAGATTTAAATTCATTCAGTATTTAAAGAGAAAAGTTGAAAATGGCATTAAATTCAGATAAGTGTGAGATTATACATTCTAGAGTCAGAAATATTAAAATATATCCACATAATGGAATAGAAGGTCTGGCTGGTAATGGATTGTGAAAAGAGTTCAGGGTTTTAATAGATCATTCCTTCAGATCATCAGCAGTTTAAAGTGGTAGTTAATAAATTATTTGACATGTACATTTACTCATATATTTTAACTAGCTGTAATGAACAGGTCTTGTCAGCTCACCTAGACGCTTGCAATAGCTGCTAAATCGCTTGCATGAGATTTAGTAACTCTCAACAATATTGATGGCCAGCGCTGCAGGTTATAAATAAAGTGATATCAGGACAGCTTGGTGAGGACATTGCGTAAGCCCCTTTTCAGACCTGCAGAAGAGATATCAGCATATACTCCCACACTCTACTTTAGGACATCAGATGTCCCTTTTTCCTGAGTGTATGGTGATAGTACCCATCAGTTCTCTGTTGACCCCAGCTGCACTGCTTTAGAATCCATTTAGTCATCAAAGGACTACAATCAACTACTCGAGCCTAAGGGATAAGCTAGAAAGGTTGTCGTCTAAGGTTTTATGTGCAAGGACATCAGGGTAGCACTGAGACTGCCCGGGACATTCATCAGCTGTCCAGTCCCAGACTCTTCTTCTCCGTTTTCAGGGTTCGACCAACTTGACCAGTCCTTCAAAGGAACCAGAGGTCCTTGTTTGTGCTTGGTCAACTGCAGCAAGATTGCCTGCCCAAGATCTTTTGCACTATCATCTCCTTGGAAGGACTGCTGTCGTCTTCTGAGGATAGTTGAGTAGAAACTCTCTTCTTCCAAGAGAAGCAACGACCCCAAGAGAGAACGGAGACGGTTACTAAGCTGGGTGCCATGGAGGAGGGAAGGAGAGAGCAGAAATTGGTGGAGGAGGCATAGCCCAATCTTATCTTTGCCTAGAATTCTTGCAGTAAGGATCTGAATTGTAGATGGTTCAGATAGGAGCGCCTTTTAACTCAGAAGTAGTTTGAAATGACATCTCATATTCTCACCCAACTTCAAAAAAATGATTTGAATCGCAGCTCCCTGACCAGGTGGACCCACCAAAGTAATCACTGGCATATTGGTTTTGCTCTGGCCAGGAGTGTCCAGCCATATCTCTTGACTGCCTCTCGTTAGGGACCTAATCATCTGTCTTTCCTTGGACAAAACTTCCAGTAAGGTGAAAATGGAAGGACTGGGCCATCTGAGACTAACCTACAGTTCACTCAACTTCTCCCTGATGCAGGGGACTAGGGTGAGCAGGTGGTGTTCACATCACTTGAACTGCGGTGAGAGTTCATCCAAGCTGTGGAAGTTTGGGAAGCTACAGAAGAAAGGGAGAATAGCAGAAAGAGCAAGAACTGTAATGACACAAAAATGGCTGGGGCTGCTCAAGAAGCTGAAGAAATAATGGGCAAGGGGACCAGGACAGATCAGAGCAGGTCTGAAGTAGAGAGGAAGGACGGAGAGCATTGCACCAAAATGAACAGAATATTCTCCGAAACCTCAGCAGGAGTGAGCAGGACCTCAGCTTTGTGCCCCACCTGAAAGATGGCACCCACCCCAGCAAGCATTGGTGCTCCCCATCTCTATGCTGAGGTGTTGACTCAGTATCAACTCAGAGGGAACTGAGTCAGTGGCATCGCTGCCTATTGTCACTCTGGGATATCACTTTTAGGTATAGAAATTTGCCTCCTGTTGAATAGCCTATACCACTTGATCCTCCCCACCTGCATTTGCTCAGTTTCCCTAGATGGACTCCAAGCAGAGGAGGGGGAGTACAAGCATGGTGTGTTTGGGCCACTGGAGAGCGAGACCATAACTCAGCAGGCATACACTAAAATAAATGCAATCGGAACCAGAGCCAGAGATGTGTGCTGGGGCTGAAAATTGAGGCTAGAACAGAGCTGTTCTTTTATCTCAGCTAACTGGAAATATGAATGGCAAGAAAAGTCTGTTTCTTAAAATGGTGCCAAATTATAAAGACCGTTAAGGCCAAAGCAGGCACCTCCCTTGTTGTTGCGAGCTGGATTTTGGAACTGGTTTAAACCTAAATCCCCCCCTCTCCCTCCCTCAGCATGTGGTGTGCTTTATAATTTTGTGGAAAGACTCATTAATTCTTTTTTGCTTTCTCCCTTTTGCAGGTTTCTGACAGATGTGACTATGTCTTTGTCAACGGGAAGGAAATGAAAGGCAAAGTGAATGTCATCATTAATTTTACATACCAGCATCTCAGCGCCCCATTAGAAATGACAGTTTGGGTTCCTCGTCTCCCGCTGCAGATAGAGGTCTCTGACACAGAACTAAATCAGATCAAGGGGTGGAGGGTTCCCATCATCGCTAATAAGAGGTAGGTTTCATTAGAGAATATTCAATCTGGGGTGTGAGCTTGCCAAGGAACTGACAGGGCTGGGAAATCTGAATACACTCATTTGGGCTTAATACAATTCTGGTGTAAACCAAAAGGTCACCAGAAGTACAGTCAGTAGGCTGTCACTTTGGACTGATTAGGGCAGCGGAAACCAGACTGCACAGATTCTGAACCGGAAATCAATTTCCTTTTATTTTGCCGGCAACTTGACGGGAAGTATCCTCTTGGCGCAGTAAGGTTTTCATTTGAGGAACGCAAAATGTCACCAAAGACCAGCTCCATCTAGTCTGAGCCTTGCTATATAGTGTCCAATGAACTAATCTATTACTGATGCCTATTGAGCATATAAATTACTGTATTACTTACTTATTTCATATTTCTGCTACCCTAGGGTCTGAAGGCCCCATTCTGGATCAAGACCTTACTGCCCTATGAACTATGTAGGTCCAATATCTGCCCCATAAAGGTTCTGCCCCATACAGCGAACAAGCTAGGCTAAGAAGGAGCTAAGAAAAATGATACGTGAAGGATAGACGAGCTAAATTTTTAAATGTATATACACTAAGAATTGTATTAATTATTATTGGCACAGATGAATAAAACAGGTGCCAGCTATTCCTATCTTCCCCTGAAAGACGTCACTTATCACCTGGACTCTTCTCAGAATCACAGCAGAAGTGGTTTTGGTAGAGGGTTTGAAGGAATGGCTTTACATGCGTCTGCAGAGAAGGGTTTCCATGCATTCACTGATAGCATACAGGTGTGCGTGCGTGTGTCTCTGTGTGTATGTGTGAGAAATATCATGGACAGGGTCCAGCAGGTCATATGATAAGAGGCAAAAAGGCCCAGGAGGGAGAAGAGAGAATTTTGACTTGAAATGAGGAGTCCCTGAAGCTTCTACTAAAGACATTTAAAGATTGCAGAGAAGTATCTAAACATTAGGAAGTCATGATTAAGATTTTGCTCCCTTATGGATATGCATTGATTCGGTCTTTAGTTACATCTGCAAAACGTCTGGTTTAAGCAACCTGAAGAGCAACCAGTGACAGGTGCAGGGGAACAATCCAGCTCTTTGGGGCAGCATTCATTTACCTTAACAGTGAAATCATCCTTTCACTCTTCAAATGGTCCATCATATGAACACCCCCAAACATGACCATCCTTTTGATGCACTACGCTAACTGTTACTTGAACAAAGGGAGTAACTAGTAGTAGGAATAGCTAGTCATTCTCTGGGAATCCACATGAGAGAGGGAAGGGACACTTTGTAATTTTGTGATTTAGGAATCAGGGCCGTGGCAGGTTGTGGGGTGAAAAGGAAGATGACCACGGCAGATGCTTTTTGTATGGACCAGGGGTGGGACTGCTGGCTAGAAAGGAGATCAAGAAGCTGCGGTAATCCAAGTGGGTAGCCATGACGTTCTGGATGAAAACATTAGACAGATCTCAGAAATATCCTGGAGGAAAAAGCTGCAGGGGTTGAACCCCAGTTACCTGTGCAGGGTGGAGGAGTTGCAGCAGATGCCACTCAATCTAACTCCCAGGTTGCAGATCTTGCCCAGTGCTTAGCCCACACCTGCAGTCTCTTGCCTTGCATGCAGCCCCACATAGTTTTCTTGGTAGATGTTCAATTCCCTGCGGTGACTTGCATGATTCTCGCTGCTGCTGTCTTGCCAGACCAGCCCGAGACAGCGATGATGAAGAGGAGGACGAGCGGAAGGGACGAGGCTGCGCCCTCCAATACCAGCATGCCATGGTGCGGGTCCTAACACAGTTTGTAGCTGAGCCCTCAGACCCAGGCGGGCAGCTGAGCTATTTGCTGGGCTCTGACTGGCAGCTTGATATCACGGACCTGGTGAGTGACTTCATGCAAGTGGAGGAGCCAAGAATCGCTAAGCTGCAAGGAGGGCAGGTGTTGATCGGACAGGAACTTGGAATGACAACGATTCAGGTAGGGAAACTGGCTCGTGGGCTGTCCCTCTCCTCCTTTACACTTGTACACAGAAACACAGTCCTGACCAAATGGTATCATGTTGGCAGCAGAAGCCATTGGTTTCAGCAGATGTAAAACCTCCAAAATACATCCAATGGGCAACTCGTGTATTGAACTAGAAGAGGAGAGAGATTCCTTTCTCTTCCCAGCTCCTGAGCAGCCTCCGCTCAGAAGTAAATGGACTGCAAGCTTTGGAAGTAACTTTATCCCAGCCTGTGTAACTGCAGAGGCTGCTTCTAACTACATTTGTCTAACAGATTTGTGAAACCAGATCCACTATTTGATATATCACAAGGGAACCAGTTGGCAAAAAAACTTAATATAGCCAAGGCCTAAATTGACATAGCAGAATGTTAAAGCTGATACTAAGTAGGGCTGGATGAAGAATGGGGACTGAAGTATGAATAGCTATGCCAGTGGTGTGTGTTATACATATTGAGATGACAGGTATGTTTCAGAATACTAACAAAGCCATAATATTCTGAATATTTCAGAAGCGTAACAAAGCCATAACAGCAGGCGGCACTGGTATGGCTCGTTCCATGCAAGGATCTCAAACTGCTTTAGAAAAGGGGAAAATAAGTGTCACTGGGACAACTCTCTGTTGGTAAAAATGAGCATCTAAGACAACTAACTCTAGCAAAGAATTTGGGACAATGAATTCTATTGTCTAAATGCAAGACATTAAGTCAGTGGCCTAAAGCCACACAGTGAATCCATGGGAGGGCTGAGGTCTGAGATAGTTTTGCTGATGCCTAGTCTGATAGCCTATATATACTGGATTAGGAAGATGACCATGGCATCAAGAGGATGACACTGGGTCCAGAACTGGAAAGATAAATTCCCTATATGTACTCCAAACTGTAAAACCTATAAGCAGGCATTGCAGCCAGTGAGGAGATAATGTAGCCCCTCAAAGATGTTCAGGACCTCAGACTTCTAAGCTGGATTTCTGCCTCTACTACACACATTGCCAGTACTGGGAAAGTGAGCGCTGGGGGCTCCTACTCACTGCAGCCTCTATGAAGATTTTATTTTGAAGCCTTTGTGTCTCTGGGATGTGCACTGCTCCCTATAGAGGCACACAAATACCTTAAGTGACTTCAAAAAGGGAATCCCAAGGGAAAAACCTGATAGCAAGATATATTTAAAGAACACACTCCGCAAATACTAGCCGGCCACACGAGGGTGGTTAAACGCAGCCGAGTCTCTGAAAAGTGATGCCTCAGTCTGGTGACCTCTCCTATTCGGTGCGTCCAGATCCTTTTGGGTCAACACGAGCCTCCTTTGCAGTTCTTGTACCCATTGTCAAGATTGTTCTCCATAGTGTATTATCAACCTTTCCTTCCAGAGGGTAAGGATTAGGAAGCACATGATATGCAAATCATATGTCAGAAGAGCTTACCTTTATTACAGAGTATTATTCTACCCCAGGCCTCTACCCCAAATAGTCAGTTATCACCTCAGCCTGATGAAGGGTATTTGTACCCAAAGGCTTGCAAAGAATTTTTCCAACTATTTGACTTGGCCTAATAAAAAATATTATATTTACCCAAAGAACTTTCTGTCATTGGTTAGACTGCACTTTATATGGAGGTTACTTTTATGAATAGTTTCTAAAGAGTTAATAAATTGCTGATAGACGGGTATATATCACAGACACAACTAGCACGTGCTATAGACAGCAATAAGCACGTCAGTCAACGGTTGTCAACCACCTGTCTACTCACTGTGGATTAGTAACACTTTGTAAACCATCCATTAACCTACTGAACATTCATTAACATTGTGTAAATGTTCTTTTAGTAAATCCAGTCACTAGCGTTCAGCATTACTTATTGTTTATTGGCCTTAACGTAGCTCCCGCGGTGTAAAGGGCCTGTACAAAAACATCTAGTGCTAACACTGATTTTCCTGATCAGATCCTGTCTCCTCTTTCGGATGCCATCTTGGCTGAGAAGACTGTGACGGTCCTGGATGAGAAGGTGACGATCACAGACCTGGGAGTCCAGCTGGTAACTGGACTGTCCCTCTCCCTGCAGCTCAGCCCAGGAAGCAATAAGGCCATCTTTGCCACAGCAGTAGCACAGGAGCTTCTTCAGTCCCCGAAGCAGGTACCAGTCCCCCGTGTGTATGCTGCATGCTGATGGGAAGCCGTTTCTGAGACCCAGTTGACTCAACATAACCTACACTGGTGGGATCTGGTGGCCTTTTATGCATATTATTCTAATAAGTCATTTTATTTATAGGTGTTTGCATCTGAAGGTCACCAGGTGCCTTAATAAAAAGACAAAACAGCAGTATGTCTGTGAAACAATAATCCAAGAGCCAATGCTCAAACTCTTCATCTCTCCAGGACACATCCCATAAATAACATGAGGTTGCCCATGGTACCCAATTACACACCGTAAATGAGCAATATAACCCCTCCCCATCCTATCGAAGCACCTAATAAAACAAACATGCAACAGTCCATCACCGAGAGAGAAAAAGGGAAAATCCTCCACGCTGCTCCATGATAAATGATTGTGGTCCAACCACTCTCGGTCATAATCTCTGAGTCGCACCATCCGCCCGTGAGCTGGCCCTTGAGCAGCTCTGCCCTGACAGCATTCACACAATTCATTGAGTCTGAAAACTCCTGACATCAGGTGCTGGTTAATCTTCGTTCTTTCTAGCACTCTTGTCTGCATCTGGGATTCCTCTGGGTTTTTTAACCCTGTTCATCAAGGGGTTTACGCTATATATTAAAGCTGAATTACACCCTTACCTTTAAACTTGGGTTTTGAACTTTAAAGGTAAACTAAAGCTCAGAGTAAATGCATTTAAATTCTGGCCCACGGGTGAGATGCTCTAATTCATAACCAGCACCTCATCCTTGAGCTGCTGGATGAGAAATAACACCAGACTGCTGCCTTTATAGGGTGATAAAAATCAAGTTCCCATAGTCTTCCAAGAGTTAAGAAATCGATGCTACACAGCTAGAAATAAGGCCAGCGAGCTAATCCATTGCTGACATGGGGAACGAAACACACTACCTTGTAATCAGCTCAAAGCTGGGTTTGATGGCGTTTAGTCCCAGCATACTGCACAGCTCTGACATTTCAGTTCCAGGAAGGCAAGTCTGCTTGAATCCGTCTTCTGGGTGCAAAGGCACAACGGGAATGCTGGCAAAAATGTAATCACCCAGAAAGAGAAATGGGTACCCTTCACCCTTGCAAGATTGAGCCAGGGTTGATCGACATCCGATTGCTCCCGTTGCCTCGCACATGACATTTGAGAGCAACGTCCCAATAGACAGAGCAATGCAAAAGTATTCGACGAATATGCTGGTTTAAGCAGCACAAAGGGAGGATAGGAGCTGAGGCCATAAATTTTTGTGTGGCCTTCAGGAAATATCCAAAGATTAATAAACACAAAGCCAGAATTTATGACAGTGTTAGAAAAGTGTTAGAGCCCAGCCCTGAAATAAAGACACGGGCAAAGTTCCCATGGAAGACACTGGAAGTTTTACCCGAGTAAAGATCTCAGAATGATGTCCTTATTTAAACCAGAATAGATGTTGCACACAGTAAGCTGTTATCACCTGTGACCTGGAGAGGGAAACCACTGATAGGATCAACATGATTAAAAAGATGCACAGATTAATTCTCCAAATTGATGTTGAGTTAAAATGCAAACAAATAGCCTGTGTTTCCCCCCAGGTCTGTCATCCACTCTTTAAATACGTGCATAACAGCAGTATGCAGTAAGAGGGTAGTTCCTTGCCTGCTACGAATAGATTCCAGTGGAGCTGTGTTGCTTTACAGCAATTGAAAATCTGGTTTAATGTGCACGCGTGTAGGCCAAAACTTTCATGAGGTCCCAAAAGTGCTGTGCATCTCCATTTTTACTGCCTACTGGAGACCCTTCCAGAGTGTAATTTTCAGGAATTGTTAAGTGCCTCCTCTCTGAAAACTGGTCCTGTCAGTAGCCACAAGTTGTAGCTTCCCCAAACACTTGATGCTTTTTAATATCTGTCTGTGTGGCTACAATGCAGAATTACTGCTCTGCCCTACCCCTGCTGGATTCAAGAGGAGTGCCTCCATTGTGACTTGCAGGTTTTGCAAAAATCGTCCTGTCCTAATTCAGAAGGAAGGTGCAGCATTGCCTTGCTCTTGATTGTTAACAGGCATGAACATTTCCTCGAGCATTTTCCACAAGTAAAAGTAGCGACGCACCCACCCGCCCTGCTTGTGTGGAAGCATATATTAGTTGGAAGGGAAAATCAAAGTTGGAAGACCCGGAGCCGTTTGCGGCTTTCTTTGCTAGATTAGGCGATTTTAACATCTGTTAGGTATAACAAGAGGAGACTTTGTATTTTAAGCAGTTAGAAATAATAGAATTTTTTTTTCATTTAAATATATAACAGCAGTAAATGATCCCAGTAGCTGGTAATGCCTTTTGACATGCAATTTATTATCGTGCTGAAGTAGACTCCGCAGAGCCCAGGGGACCCAGCTCCTTTTAGCACCTCCGGGGAAAACAAATCTTATTATCAGTGAGTGATTAAAACTAGTATTTTTTAACATCTCTGTGAGAAATTAATTTTCTTGCTCAGCCTTGTTATTTCTTTCCAGGTTATAAATGGTGTAGAGAGAGGCGGGGGGAAAAGAGCATATTGGCTGATTTGATATTTATTCTCCGTGCCTTTGTTTCACGCATAACAGGAGGCAGCCATCAGCTGCTGGATCCAGTTCAGTGATGGAGCCGTTATGCCCCTGGATATTTATGATGCCAAAGACTTCTCCCTGACAGCTACGTCTCTGGATGAGAAGGTGGTCTCCATTCATCATGACCCTAAATTCAAATGGCCTGTGATCGCCGCCGAGACAGAAGGCCAGGGGGCCCTGGTGAAAGTGGAGATGGTGATCAGCGAGTCGTGCCAGAAATCCAAGAGGAAGAGGACAGAGCGATGCCAACCCGAACATCAGTGACAGCAGGCTTGGCGGGGCTGGCGTCCACCTGGAAAACCATGCAAGTGACCGGCGTCAGAAAAGCACGCTGCAGGAACGAGGTAGGTCAGACGGGCAATATTATAGCAGCTCCTCGGTGGGCCGAGAGGAAGGCAAAAGGACCTCCACTGACCAGTCTATTTTAAACAGAAAAGATGACAGAGAAAGTCTTCTGGATGATGACAGCCACCTGCAGAACATCCCAATAGACTTCACCAGCTTCCCCGCACAGGTGGACCTGCCACGAAACAACGGGGACTTGGAGGAGAATGACCTTGTCCAGACACCCAGGGGGCTCAGTGATCTGGAGATAGGAATGTATGCTTTGTTGGGGGTCTTCTGCCTGGCTATCCTCGTCTTCCTGATCAACTGTGTCACCTTTGCTTTGAAGTACAGGCACAAGCAGGTCCCCTTTGAAGAACAAGAAGGCATGAGCCACTCTCATGACTGGGTTGGGCTGAGCAACAGGACAGAGCTTCTGGAGAATCACATTAACTTCTCATCCCAACAGGATGAACGCATTACAGCCATTGACAGAGGGGTGGACTTTGAAGAGAGCAAGTATCTCCTCAACACAAATGCCCCCAAAAATGTTAATGGCCAGGTCTTCAGGTCACCAGAGTCTGCGTTCACTGACGGGAAGGAGCAGAAGAGCGAACCGACCACCTCTCCTACCTCCAAGAGGAAACGAGTTAAATTCACCACCTTTACCACCATTTCCTCTGACGATGGGTGCCCTACTGTCAACTCCATCCTGATGAGCAGTGAGGATGATATTAAATGGGTTTGCCAGGATATGGACCTTGGGGAGTGCAAAGAACTAAAAAACTATATGGAGAGATTACATGAAAATGTGTAACGACAGACTAAGGACATTTTGTTCTTTTGTTTTTCACTCACCTTCTGCCTTTAATTTTTGGGTGTCGGGGCAAAAACGAATGCATTTGCAAACAAGAATCAACGGATGAATAATAGCTCAATGGAGCCCCAGAAAGCCACCCAAAACCAGCTGGGAGAGCAGAAATCGGAGACGTCTCATATAATTCAAGTCTTCTCTGCGCTCCGAGACTTTGGAGTGAGAGATGGTGAGGTCCCTGCTGCATGGCAACATGGAAAAAAAAAAAAAAGACTTAGCAAAATAATAAGATCTCATTCTCTGAGCTTTCCCAGGAAATCGATAAAAATAACAAACTCCAACGCAGTTTGGATATTACAAAGCTCACATGGCTCTAATGTTCGATATTGCACGCTGTGGTTAAAAGCAAAAATTGGGCTTGGAATAAATAGATCCGTGAAAAGAAGTATGTCATTCAAGTCAGAAGCAGAGAACATCAATCCGAGAATGTTAATTTAAAGCTGACAAACAATTGCAGCGTGAGCAAAGCAGCTACTGTAGTTGTAAAGTGATGAGTTTCCAAAGAATTAAAGGGGGAGAAAAAAAAGACTGGGTTGTTTACAGACCAGCGTGATCACTTCCCAAGCACTGAGAATGGATACACATATTCAATTAAAACTGAAATTCTCTTTTTAAGTAGATGCCAAGTTAATAAACTTTGCTGGCCACTTTTCAGTATTTCTTAATTTGTAAAATAGGAGAAGGTATCATCTATAATCAACATGCCGCTTATATAAAAGAAGGTTTGTTCTAGAAAGGTTTGAGTGAACCAAGATGTTTTTAAGAAGCCCACTTTATCTGGATTCCCTGTTTAAATTTGTATTCCCAGTCGTATTTCTGGAGCACTCTCATTTGCTACCCTGGGGGCACTTATTAGCATCCGTCTGATTTGGAAGTTTGATAGCTTTTCCCTTTCCTTACAACCACACGTACTTCCATGCAGCCTACTTCCACCAAGCACAGAAGCCATTGGTACTAAATTGGTAGTCACTTTACATGTTGCCAGTTACCAAAGTTGGCCGCTGTCTCTTGGGTAAGTGTAACTTGTGCTGAATTCAGATACCAACACTGACTTGCTCTTTGATCTGCTTCCCCTGTTTGAGGGAGGCTGGGTTACTCGGATTCATTTGTTCATGCTTC